TAATCTCAAATAAAAGAAATGAATTAAGTAGAATAATGACAGTAAAGGTCAATCCACAGGGACTAGGAGATTGATAAGTTCCTCATTCTTGATTTGACTTTGGCGTGATTTGTAAAGAAGATGAATAAGGGGGTTTTGACAGTTGAGGTAAAATTAAGATTTGAAAGAAAAATGAGAAAGTAAAGTAAGTAAATTAAGAAAATTAAAGTAAAAATCCAATTGATAAAAATCAACCTTGGGCTAAAGCTTTTGCCTTTATTTAAATCGATCATTAAATAGGATTTTACCTCCGGGATCACGCCAGTTACAGTCTACAGGGCCCAACCCTATAACTTGTTTTTCTTTCAATTGAATCGAGAATCTAAAATCAATTTTTAGATCTCAACTCTTTGTGAATTAATCGTGACAATCACTTACCATTTAAATGCCTTTAAATTCTAGAAAAACCCGACTCAAATTGTACCATATCAATCGAGAATCTAACATGATTTCAGTTTCCCTTAACAAACCGCCGTTAAGTGTGTTCACAGGAAGTCAAATGTTCCATAGGCCGATCATTCCTTCCAAATGATAATCGAAACTGAAAATCAATTTCAACTTGCACTTTTTGAAATGAAATCGATTTGACTATAAAAGGATGGTCGATTATTGATCCTTGATTTCTGAAAACTGAAAATATAACCCTAAAGGGTATGATGCACTTTTCAATTCTCACGATTGAGAATTGAGTCATTTCTTAAGTCTTTGGCTATGGAAAACTTAGCTAAGCATGATAGAAACCATACTTAGCATTTTAAAGAAAATAAACTAAACTTGTAAAGAAAATAAAATGGAAAAATAAAACTTTTATAAAAACAAAATAAAGAAAGTAACAAAGAGTTCAAGAGCAAATGATGATTTGAGAATTACCCCAATGAGATATTTATATTCCTTAAAAGCCCTAAGAATTCACATTCAAAATTAAAAAGATAATTACTAAAAATAAAAAAAAAATCCTAATTTGATTTCAAAAATTCGACTGAGTCTCCTTCTCCATGAAATCTGCTGACTGGACCTTCTAGAAGTTACTGATTCGATGCCATGTCAGCGAAGTCATGCCCACCAATCCAGTCATGAATCCAGAAAATAAAAAATTGCACAATTTCTTCAGTTTTAGCAATATTTCTGGAATTTACTGTCCTATATCGAAAATGAATGAAAAAGACTTAAAATAACTAATCAAAGAGTGATTAATCACAAAATAATGTATAATTTAAGCACTAAATAGGTGTCCATTTTGGATAAAGTACCTTAGTAAAACAATATTAATGACAAACTTTTATGCTACTATGTTCCATTCTGGAACTTATTTCTACATTTCCTTTAATGCCAAGATTAAGAAATATGAGTTGTACGATTTGATTTCAACAGAGCTTAAAAAAATCCATAACATGACAGATGTCTTCGTTGCAAGCTAAAGTTCTCGTGGGAATTATAGGTTCTGAAAAGACATTACATGTTGATCTTATCGAATTCAAGCAACCTCTGGAAGATGTTTAAGGCTTACACACGTGTTGGTGGTAGGAACATCGAGATGACTATAACATTTTAGGAAGAACTGTATTCAACAAGCAAAGAAGGCTTAACTCGGTTATCACAAGACTATGAGGACGAAGAGTCAGTTCTGCTACGTATTGCCCATGAACGTCGGGAGAGAGAGCTTTAAACAGCTCTTGTAATTTTTTATTACGTTTTTAAATTAGTATTAAAATAATTTTTTTGTGAGTATGATGATTCTCAAGTTGTTTATGCATCAAACCGAACAACTAATTATCATATTGTTCAAGGATAACTTAAACCAATCAACAATTTAAAGTTGATTAATAATTTAAACAATTTAAAAAAACTAGAACATTATGTTCAAATATTATTTTTTAAACAAAAAAGAAATCAGAGTTCGATTAACTAAAAAAAGAAAATACAGTTCGACTAGCTAAAAAAATTATAAATTTAAACAACTAATGATGTCTATGTCCAACCATACTGCACTGTAGTGGACGACGAGTCCGACGAGGATTTCTACAAATCAATCTATATTGGAGGCCTCATCATCACTCTGATCATCACCATCATCATCATCATCACCCTCATATACATGGCCAGTATCACCACTGACACTAGGACCAAGATTGGTGTAGGACATGCTCTGCGGCGATATCTGCTCAACATTGCTGAATTTGAAGTCTGTTGCCAATGGTCGAACAGATGGAGGTGACGGATAATATGGTTTAACTGGTGCATGAGGGCAATAAGAATAAACAATGATCGTCGGATAGGAACGGAATGTGTCAGTGAAAAAACCTTCCGTCGGTGGCGTCATATGTTGAAATGATGACGGAGTCGTCATCTGCTGAAATATTGACTGAGTCAAGTGGGTGAATGTAGATGTCGTTAGTGGTGTCTGATGATTTGTAAGCGTTTGTGTCATTCCCGATGATGAGACTTAAGTGTGTTTTCGTCTACTTTGACTTGCACCACGTTACGTCGAGAGATATTGTGTGGGCGGACGATTTGGGGGAGACCTATAAATTTCTCGCGCTCACTCATCCTCGGTCGGTATATGCGGTATCTCATTTTGCTCATACTAAAACATGTAATCATCTGAAACACCATAGGCCAAGATGGGTTCAAAAACGGGATGCCTAACAAACCTCGATATCCATTGCATCACCCAATCCACATGATAAACCTCCTAATTAACATTCGTCTTCTCATGTCACGTTATATGATGTAAGGCATTGTCCAAGGTTGTTGTTGGTGTCACAATTGTTTGAACATGGCCAAATTACTGCAACACGCGATCAACAGGATGCCACTCGATGATCTCATGGACTATCAACGAAACCACCGACATCCAAATGTGTGAATTGTGATGTATCTCATCCGGAGTATAAGCTCTAATAGCATCGTTACTGTATGTCGTCCACATGAACTACACAATTTTTTTAAACTATGTTAGAAAAGAACTCGAATAAAAATGTGATATTTAATTTACAAAAATAAAATCGATTACCTCATATGTCATCTTATCATCGACAATCTAAGATGACTCAGACTTTTTGGTAAGTGGGAGTGACTAAGTGTGATGATCCACATATCATTCATATAATAAAATATAATTATTTACAACCTCCAATTGCTTGGTTATTCAGATTAACATCTTTACATAGCTCCCGGAACAAAAAATGTCAACATTGTCGATCCCCAACTCTTATTTTTAGCTGCCAGAAAATCGCGTAGATGATCCAATAACATCATATGCACTTTATTTCGGGATTTATCAGGCATCAAGATCCCCCAATAACTTGTAAAATATGAGCACGAGAAAATTGTTGTAAAATTAAAAAAGGTGAAAATATATTAAAAAATTATCGTCAAAAAAATTACAATAACATAAACTAAAACATTTAAATATTATAAATAAACAAATTAAAATAAATAAACATAGATTTAAAAAATTTAATAGAGATGTTCCCTCCATCCAAATCATCCTCTATCGGAGTAAGTTCGAGCAGCTTCTGACACAAGTTTGGCCAGTCCCCATGATCCATACTGGTAATAAGATTTCCATTAACAGGCAGCCCAAGATGGTATGCGACATCTTTAAGGGTAATAGTCGCCTCCCCACAAAGAAAATAAAACGTGTGTCTCTAGTCTCCACCGTTCTAGCAATGCTTTTATCAATGAAGGATGCAACTTCGTACCACCAATTACGGTGCCAACGTAACCAAAATCGGCTTTGTGCAAGTATGGAATAATATCATTATTAGGGGGCCGGAAACGATTGATAAAACACATCAGCGAACATTCATATCCCTTCAAATAAATAAATAAATAAATAAATAATTTGAACTAAATAAATAAATCAAAAATAAATAAATGAATAAATTTGAAATAAATGAATAAATAAATTTGAAATAAATAAATCAAAAAAATAAAGAAATAAATAAAGTATTCAAAATAATTAAAAATTTAAAGCAAATTAATAAATGAAAATTATCGTTGGATTTTCCCACTAATAGGTGCATACATGTGAAATATCATCCCTCAGTAGTCTCGCCATAATAATACGAGGGAGAGAATAATTAAGAGAGTTTTTTTTTGGGTGATGGTGTGAGGAATTCAGGTGGGGGCCTTTTTATAGTGGTCATCGCATTGCCTTCGAAGCAAGGTAAATGGTATCTTGCGTTATATGAAGCGTGAGGTTCAGGATATCTTTTCAAAATTTAAATTTCAAAACTTCTACGAATGATAATTTCTCAATATTTCGTGGACCTCGCGTTCTGAGAAACATGAGGTATTAAACAATTATATTAAATTAAATAATCTGAAAAGTACTTGATATCTCGCATCTTGTGAAACGCGAGACATGTTCGCGCACTAAGTAGGACGCGAGTTAATCCTATGTATGCACTTTAAGAGCTATTTTTCTATTAAATCTGCTAAGGATGGATTTTTAATATAATAACGCCCAAAATAATACTATTTTCATAAATAGCTTTTGAGGATGACTACAACAACAAATAAAAAAAGTAATATATTTCAATATTAAAAATAGAATAAAATATATTTTTGACAAGATATACATACATAATATAAAATATTATTTAATATATACTTAAAAGGCTTTATAATATTTAATAATATCACAATAATAAAAGGAAAAATGTGAGCAAGCTTGTATATGCGATGAGCCGTAAGTGACCTTATAACCCAAAAACCGCAAACAGAATCTTCGCCTTCTTAATTTCTATTCCTATTTTCTCACCAAGAAAACCAAATTTATTTATTTTCTGATTCTCTCTCTCCAAACAGCACATTTCTTGCTCACTCTTCAGATACATAATATTATTTATAAATAAAAAAAATTAAGAAATCGCTCTCTTTACCCTTTCTATATATAATATATTAATTCATAGATCTCACCACTTCTGTTCTAATTGCACCTACTCTCCTCTCTGCTTCAACAGATAACCCAAAGGGCACGAAAAGAAAAGAACCCATAGGAAGTAAAGGGAAGATTTTTTTGGGAGGAAACAAACAAGGATCGAAAATGGGTTCGGTTCCACCTGAACTGAGCTTGGAATTTATACCCACTTTTGTACCCAAAACGATCATTAGTTTCCTCAAGGAGCTTTCATTAATCGGAAACGTTCCTGAGAGGATTTCAAAACTCGATGCTTTTGTTAAACGATTGGAAGAAGAAATGAGAAAGATCGATGCTTTTAAATGTGAACTTCCTCTTTGCATGCTCCTCCTCAACGATGGTTCGTTTCTTCAATCAATTTAAATCACACCTTTTTCTCTTATTAATGGGTTCTCTTTTGATTTCCTTTTTGGAACGAAAATAAAACCCCTGCTCTCGATTGTGAGTTTTAATCGGAAAAACGTTTGCCTTCAGCTTTGTTTTTGGGATTTTTTTTTATCGTTTTGGTTAAAATCGATAGACTCTGTAACTTGTGTTTTGGTTTTTTTTTTTTACATTGCAATCAATTTATTGAATGCGGTTTTGGTTTTCTGTTTGATTTCAGCCATTGCAGCTTTCAAAGAGGAGTTAGTGCAATGTTTGCCCAGAAACGTTGAGCCAGTTTTTTGGAACACTGTTGATGATGATTATTATCGTTCTGTTGATAGAAAACTAGATACTAAGGTACTTCAAAGTAAAAAACAGAAGATAATTAAACCACATTTAAACTTAAGAAGTGTAGTTTATAATGAAATAAAATTGCCAAAGATTGAATATTGGTTTTTTGGTTTACAGCTGAGAAACATTGGAGATTCATCTCAATCATGTAAAAACAGGGGAGGAGCGACATCATTAATGCCATTCAAGGCAAATTTGGGCTTTGCAGTGAAGAAGGAAGAGAGAGAGGAGATACCACTAACGCTTTTGACTCCTGGAATCAAGAATCCGAGAGATGAATCATGCTCTACGGGATCAATGACAAGTTGTAGCAAGGCAGTTTCTTCTTCTGCTCCCAATGCTCGGTCAAGTTTTCGGTCTGTACTGCAGCCGTTGTCCCAAAAGCATCAGCAGCAAACTGCTAGGAAGCAAAGGAGGTGCTGGTCACCTGAGTTACATTGCCGGTTTGTCAATGCCTTGCAACAATTAGGAGGATCTCAAGGTGAATGAATGATGTTCAATTGGTAATGTATGTAGATAGTGACAATTTGTATTCTGTTGTTCTTAGATCTTCATTTTCTTGTCCTGAGTTGGTTGCTTATTGTCATAGTCATCTTAGGTAAGGTTTAAAATGTTTGGTCAGTGAGAGGATTGCTTTTGCAAGAAACGTAACCTCTTTGCACCTATTTTCCGGTCCTTATCATTCAATCTGATTTTGCTTTAGAGATGGAAAGTGTAGATTAAATCGGTCTAAGAGATATATGTATAATTATGTATAATTCATTTGGCTTGAGACCATGGAGGATAAAAGATGGTTACAGAACGAGTTATTCTGCATTATTAGCCTTTCTGTTGGTATCGTTGGATTGAAACGTTATCTTTTCATGGAGATTCATTTTTTTTGGTTCTTTCACGTCTAAGTTTCTGAATAAAATTTATTGATTCTTTTGCAGTGGCCACTCCGAAGCAGATTAGGGAACTTATGCGAGTAGATGACTTGACCAACGATGAAGTTAAGAGTCATTTGCAGGTCGGTTCTTGGATTCAATTTTCTCCTAGGCAGTTCTGATCTGTGAAAAAAATGTTAAGCTTCTTAATATTTTCCAGAGATTAATGGTTATACGAAGTATTTTTTTATGGATGAGTATTTGATGGGATCATTTCCTGTAACTTCCCAGAAATACCGACTTCACACAAGAAGATTTCCGGCTTCCACAACCAGCCCTGCAAAACAATCAGTCGTTGTTTCGGGGAGTGGTCTGTGGATGTCCCAAGATCAGTATGGAGAGTCGTCTAAGGGAAGCAGTTCCCAGTCGGGTTCTCCTCAAGGACCTCTCGAGCTAGCCATAGACACCGGAGGGAACTCCACTCCAGGAGGTGACAACATGGAAGATGACGAAGATGCAAAATCCGAAAGTTATAGCTGTAAAGGCCATATTCGAAAACCCGGGAAACATGATGTATAGAGAGTTTATCCACTATGAATTTTGCAGATATATAAAGTATACATGGAAGGAGTTTGCAATCATAAAAATCACAATATACTATCAATATATTATATACATAAAAGGAGAAGGATCTTGAGAAATGAGAGGGGCCGTGAAAACTTTGCAGGATTAGTTTTCCTTCGATCTTAAGTTTTTTTTCAGTTTTCTTGCGGAACCAGTACAAGAATTCCAGTTATATATTATCCGTATGCTTTCGCCATTGGGAGAAACACGAGCACTGCACCATTTCCATATTACTTGGCTTTTACATTAAAACTCTGTTTACTAGGGCTTTTTCTACCGGACTTGGGTTATAGAAATGCCCAGAATCTCCAAGAAATTGTATTTGAAATTCGCTTTTGTTTTGATGAGTATTTTTCTGCATCTTTACTACGCCTAACTTGAACCACAGACTAATCATTCACCTGTGTGGTCCTCATGAAGTTTTAATTCAAAGTATCTGTCCTTTTTCACAAAACACACTGTTTTGTAAAGAAGAATGGTGAAACTTGGGGAACGCTATACACCTAGGAGAAGCCAAAACTAAAAAAAAATGACATTGGTGGCACCCCACAATTGATAAGAGATATTACTATTGTAATAGGCATTTAGGTTTGAGTTTGCATCATACTTTTATACGCTTTAGTGTTTGATAGATTTTGATGCATTCGTTTCTTTGTTTTATCATCTTTGTATTATGTTTTATATCTCACTTTAGTTATTTCTTTAACTACTTATATTTAATCTATTGATTGATTAATTCAAATTAAGTCTTATGAGCAATAATGGATTGAGGGAGCCAGTGGCGAAACTTGGTGATAGAGTTTGAGAGGTAACTTAAAACTTTATAATATTTGGAAGTTTAATTTGAAATTTTCAAAAAAAAATTGAAGGGTTTAATTTGTATTTTTTACAAAAATATTAGGGTGTAACTAAAATATTTAAAAATTTGAGAAGCTTAATAAGAACTTTTTAAAAAATATGGGAGGAGACTTAATGAAGAACATTAAAAAATTCTAAAATTTAATATGGTTTTTTAAAAAATTTGGGAGTCCAAATTAATTTTTTTGAAAATTTGAAGGGTCTATATTATAATTTTTAAAATTTTGTGGATTCCATGACCCCACTAGCTCTGCTTATATTCCGCCACTGGGGTTGTCGTCCTTTGAAAATTTTAAATTCTCGTACATTTTATGTATTTTTATTGATAATCTGTTTTAATCATAAAATTTTATAAATTTACTCTAACATTAAATCCTATGTCCTCCATTAATAATGAGAAACCCTCTTAACCCATATCCAATACTACATAGTCGTATTATCAAGTACTGCAGCGATCTATTAGGTTGTATATATTAATTTAGTTATCAGTGTTAAATATGATGTATTTATGCAATTATTGATACCTTTAAGGTGATTATGGTACTAAATTAGTAAAGAATTTAGGCATACATACATTTATTAATTGCCAGTGTTTCAATGTTTAGGATATGGATAACAGTGTTTAGTTAACACAAGAAGACATTAGAAGATCCCAACTTATATTGGAAACAAGATTTTAGGCTTCTCACCTTATTTGTCTTATAATTTAGTTATCAGTGTTAAATATGATGTATTTATGCAATTATTGATACCTTTAAGGTGATTATGGTACTAAATTAGTAAAGAATTTAGGCATACATACATTTATTAATTGCCAGTGTTTCAATGTTTAGGATTATGGATAACAGTGTTTAGTTAACACAAGAAGACATTAGAAGATCCCAACTTATCTTGGAAACAAGATTTTAGGCTTCTCACCGCCTTATTTGTCTTATGGTCTCGTAAAAATATTTATCTCAAATAAATAAAAACAACCACTTCTTTTTTTTACCTATTACGGTACTTTTTGTATAAAACTTACCAATACAGTAACTTAAAATTATCCGGGAAGAGAGAGAGAGAGAGAGATGGAAGATGATTACGCAAAAACTATGTAGATTTGTGAAGGCATTGATTGAATAACCTATCAACTTATGCATGCAAAGTTTGATGATGATGTGATAATGTGGTCTCCTTAAAAGCTATTAATTAGTCAAATTGTTCAAAGACATTTTTCTTTTTCCCTTTAATCTTTGGCAAAGCCACAGTGCCAGTCATATCCCACTAATAAAACACAATCACTCGCAATGTTTATCTGGAGGATGATGACAAAAGAGACCCTCTCATGACCAAAAATAATTGGTTCACAATGAGAGCTCCACTTTCGTACATTAGTTCGTATTTGATTTAAGAATCTCAACCTATATGATTTAATTTTTTTTTAAGTTTAATCACACCTATTTGATAGGTTGATGGATGATTTCAAATCTTGTTTTATGTAGACTTATTACGAGGACAATCATCTTAATTAAGTTTGTTCTATTCGTAAATGTCAGAATCCAAACATATGATCTTGTTTAAAAATTTAGTATCTCATCCTATTTGACCAACTAATTGTTGATATTTTATGTATTTATTATACCAATGGATGTTGTAATTAAATTTACTGGTTGATTAAATCATATATATTTGATCTATATGGCCTGCATTTTCATTCGATCCCACTAAATGGAAACTGTTCATATAAAAGATTCCTTCAAGGACCAGCCATAGATTATGATCCTATAGAAAGCACCATGATGAAAGTTTTAACTGGAAAGAATAGTATTTGGTCAATAAAACAAACCCCAACAACATCAACTTAAAGCCAAATTCCTTTATATTCTAACCACCTAATTAATCTCAATGTGTTTTTTACTGGGTTCTAATAATCATTAAGATTATTTACCTTGTCCATGCCCAAGGAAGCAACATTCAGTTCAATTATCGATGTAATATAAAGTAAAATGTATAAGATAAATCGTTGTAAAGATATTATTTTACAAAAAAAATGTCATAATCAGAGAATAACTTTAAATGATACCATGTAATGTTTCTTAAGGTTAATTTAAATTTTGGCACTGAACTAGATGATTATTCCATTTTGATACCCATGCCATGGAAAAAATCGATTTGAAAATCAATTGCTCAAATTCATTGAAATTGAAATTCGAAACCCTAAAATCCAATGCAAATGTATAAACCTTTATCCCCTCTGTATGAGTTTCTCAAGTTTGTCGAAGCATCTGTACTAAACCAAATTCTTTAATGAGCATCCTTTTAAGGTAGTTTACATGCAGGGAGGCCAATCATTTTCTTACAATGTTTCCAATTTCATGTCTGTCTTACCTATTTGATTTGATAATAATACAATAAATTGTCTTCGTGAATTAAACTTCCTTTTACCTTTAGATTTAGATTGAATTTGGATGAGAAATTTAATACATTGTTTACAATTTGCAAGCATTGTAGTTGTTAGCATTTAAAGCTGTTTAAACGAAATTAGTTGCTTTAATCTGTCATGATAAGTACTTGACTTTAGCTAATTATGGTATCTGGAATGTTCTAAGGCTATGTACTAATATGATTTTGGTGGATAACTCTAAGTTTGTCAAATAAAACAATTTAAACATTTCTTTTGAATAGTTTTGGTTTCATCTAATCTTTCTTCTTCATCTCTCCTCCTTTCTCTTTGACATCGTTGGTTAGGTGCAGAAGTTAAGATTTTGGACTGGGGTGTCGAAAATACAAAGGACGAAGAGCAATGGTGATCAGGCGCCATATTCAAGCAAAAAAAAAAAGGAAAAAAAAAAGAGTAAGGGTCAAATTGAAAATTTATAAAAGTCGAGGGAAAATTCGTGATTATCCTTAAATTTGTTCACGTGTGTTCATCGCCACACTTTAAGATGCGTGTAGGCCTTTATTTGAGCATGTTTTGAAAAGTTGAGTTTTTTTCTCTCTCCAGTTTGAAGGTTTGATTATGACTAATCTAGATCAATCCGAGTTTTATATTTGATTTTGGTAGGTGAGTCTTCCAGTGAATATTTTCTACATACACAAAGACTTGAACATAAGACATTACTTAAGCGATATCAATCTCTACAAAAATTAATTCTTATTTAAACATTTAATAAAAAAATAATTGCATGAACCAAGCTACATGTTTGAAAAAGAACTTTCAATTGAGAAAAGACTGTAAACTATTAAAATAAGATGTTACACCTCTATGATTTTTGATAGGGATGTTTATTGAGTTGTGTAATGCTAATTCATGTTCGTTAAAAATATTTATTGCTCGATTTCACTCGTTCGTCAAACTTTATTTGTGCTCGTTAAAAAATTTTATTGCTTGACTCAACTAGTTAGTTATTAAAATCATTTGAATTTTTACTTAATTTTTTTAATTATACGTAAGATCTATTAAATTTATAATTTTTAAAATAATTTAATGTCTTTCCTTTTGTTTATTAAAAAAATAGTAAGTAGTAATTATTAATTATTTTTAATGAAATACTTTTATGATAATTACTAAAAAATATAAAAAAATAATAATGAATGAATTGCTCATCAACTTACTGAATGAGTTGGGTGTGATTTAACTCAATTTGTTAAAGTCTCGACTAGAACAAGAATTAAAATCAAATTAATCTAGATTGATCGGTTTGAGTTCAAACAATTTACTAGCTGTTTAACTCATTAGGTGTCAGAGTTTTTGATGCCTTGGCTTTAAGGGGACAAAACCTTCAAAGCTAAGTCCCCGACGTAAGGCAAGAATGGGATGGACAATCCCGCCATTTGCCACGCCAAGAGTATACAGAATGAGAAATTTTGGTGCTTCAAAGGGACTTTTAGGATCAAATCGGCATTTCACCGGTTCATCAAGTGCTTTCATAGTGGCATGAGAAAATAAAAGCTTAATTATTCTATGCTACTCGTGTAATGAATTGCCTGAAATAACCTCGGGTTAAACTGAACTTGTTGCTGTAATGCTGCCTCAACTCATGTAGCTCGTTTGATTTCCAATGCATAGAAAAGTTGAAGATTCATTCAAATCAAATCCTCACTGATTCTTCTTCTTCTTTTCTGTGCACATCAATGATTCTATAAATTCATATCGTATTTGTATTGAAAGAGCAATACACAAATTACCTATGACATATAGGTTTTTAGGTTTCATCAATTAAATTAAATTTGTCCAGCAAAAAAAATGAAGATAAATAATAAAAAAGGGTAAACTACATCTGTGGTCATTAATGTTTAAGTAAGTTTTTGTTTTCCTATTGAAGTTTCAAAAATTATAAATTGGTCACTAACATTATCGATCTGTAAAAAAATTCTCACTAATGTT